AACGGTTGTAACTTTTCCTCTATTCCGTTGTTTGGTTGAAGCTTTTTTATCTAGTGGATGTAGCTTTTTGCGTCCACGGTTGTAGCATGGGAAAACACTGTTCGCAACTCTCCCCGATGCCGTGGTTGCAGCTCCCTCCGGTCGCCATGGTCGTAGCACGGGGCACCTCGGTCCCCCTCCATGACGTTTGGCTTGCCACCGCTTGCAGCAAAAAAAGGGGAAAGAGGAGGAGGAGAAAGGAAGTGAGGGAGAAGGAAGAAGGGGGAGGTCGGAACATGAGCGGGGCTGCAATCATGTGGGGGCTTCGATCTTCCAAGCTACATCCATGGCCGACGGCGAGCTGCTCACGTGCTGCAACGGGAGAGGCGAGAGATGCGTGTGTTGTGGGGCGAGATCCACGTGAGGTTGAAGAAAGCAAATAGGATAGCGTGGGTGGCCCCGTGTCTACGTGTCGCCTGGTGGGTGGCTGGGGTGAAGCGCGCGTGGATGCGTCCGACCCAAAGTTCGGCCGGTGCACCGCACCCAATCGTTTTCCTTGCACATATGCATCAGTTTTTTTTTCTCAAAAAAAATCACATTTTTTTTCCAGTTTTCAGTTTTAGGTTGCGAGTAGAGGTGCAAAGCCACTCACACACGCTTGGTCCGATATACTCCCTCTGTCCCAAAAATTTTATCTTAGATTTGTCTAAATACGGATATATCAAGTCATGTTTTAGTATTAGATACATCCGTATCTAGACAAGATACATCCGTATTTAAACAAATCTAAGACAAGAATTTTGGGACGGAGGGAGTACATTTTACTTTCATCTTACTAGCTACAACGCTGAAGAATTTTTAGTTAATATGTTAATATGTGCAATTTAGGGCTGAGTTGGACAATAAACACTTGAACGATCGGTCGATGCAGCAACTAATGCATGGCCACACATTCAATTCCGAATGCGTGCATCCATCTGTCCATGAAATACATGTTTATCCATCCTCTCGCATTAGGGTTTACTACTCCCGCCACACCTCTGTGACGTCGAGAACCTCTACCTCACTTAAAAAAAAGACATGTCCGTGACATTATGACCCGAATGACTTCCATGATGATAATTGCGACAAAAACACATATCTTCATAGATGTGATGGGCTCCTACTTCTATGACAAAAAATTATGACAGAAAATTGACTTTTCGTTCTGGGTGGACTGAGGAGCACGTGCATGACATTCTTTGGACCGTCCACGACGTAAAAAATCGTGGTAGAAGTGAGGGCGAGAACATTTTCGGAGATTACCTAGTATACGGTGGGCAGTCGGTGGGTGGTCGGGCCCAAGCGATTCAGCGTGGTTTGCGTGTTTCTCTCATACGCGCGCGTGTGCGGGTCCTTCGCTAACTGAACCCGAGCAAGCCTGTCGCTTACTGAACTCGATTGATCGATCCCTCGTGTTACTGAACCCGAGCGATCGGTCCCTCGCACTACGTACTAAACCCGAGCGACCCCTCGCACTACTACTGAACCCGAGCGATCCCTCACACTGCTATTGAACCCGATCGATCCCTTCGCTGCTAACTGAACCCGGCCGATCCATTCTCTTCTTACTAAACCCGAGCGATCGATGTGAGAAAGACTCGTGCACATACATAGTTTGCTGGCCCGATTGATCAATGTGCTGCATCGAACCACCACGCGAGACGTGAGTTGACCTAACCGGTTGGTTGCCTCTCGATGACGAGTCCCCATTGTTGTAGCGCATGTGATACATAGATCGGGTCGAGACCAGCAGTCGGTTGCATCAATCTAACCCCTTGCGCGATACGTGTTGACCTAGCCGGTTGGTTGGCTATGGATGAACAGTCTCCATTACTGCCGCGCGCGTATGCCTCACCACAGCCGGATGGGGTTGGATGAATAGGCCCCCGTGGTAGCAGGCAGTTGGCGCTAGATGAACATGACCCAGAGGAGGTCGTGTCGCGATACGTCACACCCAGCCAGTTGGGTGTGGATGAACATGACCCCGTGGAAGGCTAGGCCGTGTGCGATTGGCGCTGGATGAACATGACCCTGAGGAGGTCGTTTTGCGGTACGCTACACCCCCAGCCGGTTGG